GAACCCGTGACCCTTTGGTCCAAGGGCTGAAGCTCTTACTGCTGAGACAAACTGGCCAAGACAAACCAGCCAGGGGTGGGTATGCTTTTTTAAAAAAAAAAAAAAATATATATATATATATATATATAATTTATTTTATTTTATTTTTTTTCTTTCTATCTTTCTTTATTGATTTTGGAGAGAGAGTAAGGGAGAGGGAGAGAGAGATAGAAACATTGATGAGAGAGAACATTGATTGGCTGCCTCCTGCATGCCCCCCACTGGGACCTGGCCCACAACCTGGGCATGTGCCCTAACTGGGAATCGAACCGACGACTTCCTAGTGCATGGGTCGACACTCAACCAACCACCAAGCCACCCCAGCCGGGCCAGGGGTGGGCATGCTTCTAAGAGACTCTTCCCTAGCCCGGCCAGTGTGGCTTAGTGGTTGAACATTGACCCATGCACCGGGAGGTCGCCAGTTCTATTCCCGGTCAGGGCACATGCCAGGTCATGGGCCTGATCCCCAGCGGGGGACATGTAGGAGGCTGCCAGTCAATGTTCTCTCTCATTGATGTTTCTATTTTCCTCTCCTTCTCACTTCTCCTCTTTTTAAAATCAATTAAAAAAATTATTTAAAAAAAAAAAAAAGAGAGAGTCTTCCCTAAAACACTTTCCTGGGCTTTTTCCTCCACAGCTGCAGAAGGGCCTAACATTCAAATATTCAAATGAATAACAAAAACATGCCGTGTGACTCAGTTCCGAGATGGCAGTAGCTGCCCAGAACTCTGAGCTGCTGCCTTGCTCTGCTCCTGCTGGAGGGGATCCGCAGGCGGGGAGAGGTGTGAAAGACAGGCTAGCACCAAGCTGAGACCTTGTATCACCAAGGGGCTTGGGGAAACTGACAGGGAATGACCTTCCCCGTCCACTGTCTGTGCTGTTAACTTCCGAGTCTTTTCTCCACCTGAGCCAGCGTAGGGTCCTCATCTCTCCTTAGGAAGCCTAACTCCACCCCTAACTCCACCATAGTCGGTCATTTACTCTTTGTGTCCCTGCTACATGGAGAGTCCCTCAAGGGCAAGAGCTTACACCTGGTGCCTTCAGCACCACACACAGAGCTTGGACACAGTTGGGAGTTTATAAAGGACAAAGTGACAGCAAATGAAAACCCCCTCCAGGTACAAATGACTTAGGGCAAAGCCTTTACTGAGGGGTGGGCAGCAAAGAGGATGTTGGCAGGCCTTGGAGTCGAGAAGATTCCAAGAAAAGGGAGGCAACAGACATCTAAGACAAACGGCACTGACAGTGTGTGCCTGCTGAGGCCTCTGCCGAGGGCATAGTGTGGTGACGGAGAGGACGCTCCAGAGTGACACAGTTCTCGGCTCAGTCCAGTGTTCACTAATCACAGGAACTGTGGCCAGATCATTTTTCTTGTGGGGTCTTAATCACTTCACTGTAAAGTGGTGATAATACTTCCCTTATAAAGGCTCTTAGCATATTTTAGGTCGGAGGTCAGGACTCAGGAGACTGGCAACAAAAAAACTTTGTTATCAGTGGATATTATTCCATCATCTATCTATCTATCTATCTATCTATCTATCTATCTATCTATCTATCTATCTATCTATCTATCCATCCATCCACCTACCTATCTATCCACCCATCCTATTAGTTTCAATAAATGTTTGCAATTATTATTGCTGTTCTTATTGTTTTAGTAGTAGAATCTTTAGTACTCACCATGGTTGCTAGTACAGTGCAAACATTCAACAGATGTTTATTGGTTGAAAGAGTTACACGGATTTGTGATCTTTCTATAGGAAACTATTCCCCAATCAATATTCCCCAAGTATATGTCACCACCAGCTGCCAGACGTTTAAGTCAAAAGCCTTGATTTCTTGATTTCTTGAGCCCCTGTCAGGGACTAGGTACTGTGCAGGGTACTGGGATGAGGAAGGTAAAGGGAGCTCATTAAGCTAGACCCAACCATAGCTCTTCAGGATATGCAGAGAAAAAGGAAGCAGAACTTATCATTTGTTCAATTTTCCATTCATTGTTAGATGTAGCTCATGAGTGGAACATTTTAGGAGTTTCTGACAACGCTTGGGCAATAATGTGAGATACTTATAATCCACAGCCGTCTGAACCAGGAAAGCGTTATCAGCACCGTGCAGCGGTTCCCTGGGAACAGGGTGTGCACGCGCCCCATTTTGGAATTTTTGCTGTTGGTGAAAACTAGGAAGATATGCTACTTGTTTTGAATCCACTCCCGTCCAGCCTCTCTGTAGATAAGGTGAATGGGAGGGAGGAAGAATTAAAATGACACATGGAAAGTGAATTGGCTAAATCTTTTGAGAAGCCTACTTGCAGCTGAGTGAGCTAGCTTATAGCTACAGAGTGTGGGCTGCACTTTATATCTCTCTGTCTATATAGAAAAAAGAGTTTCAGAAAATTCTGTCACTCTTTGGCTTAATTGTGAGTCCGTAGGCGTGTGTGAGTGTGGTGGAGGGAGAACTTTGGGCACAAAGAATATATGTGCATGTAACAAAGTATTTGGAATGTGTGTGTAGAATGGGAGTTTTATTAGTAGCTTTTTAATTGGAGGAGAGTGTATATGGAGGGAAAGTGTATTCGCGCGTGTGTGAAATGCAGGAGATGGGCAGTCACATGGACAGCCAGCCCTCAGCGATCCAGACAGTGGTATAAGATATAAAGAGCTACAAAAGGTGATTGTTTTCCTTTGAGACCAGCACACAGGTCTTTCAGGAGCCCTTGACTTTCTCCTCCTCCCTGTCTTGTTAAAAAGGGATTAGAGTCCAATTAAGCCATTGAATCCCAAGGTAGAGTCTCATGTTTAAAAATAAGATTTATAGCTTTAAAAAAAAAAAATACATCCGTGCAAGTTGAGGTTTGTCCTCTCCAGTTGCCACCTGCCTGGTTCCAAAGAGTGTTTTCAGCAGAATATCCAGCATGCAGCTCTTAGTTACTTCGCCTCCTACTCCTGTCCTTTGCCTTCGGAAGCATCCGTCAGCCCAAAGAGCATGCGCTGTTAGAGCGCTTGGCTTCTGGAGTACACGGTCACCCCTGGCTTATCTCCCTTCCGTTGGCAACTCAGTGACCAGGCTTATTAATAACAGTATCAAGAGCTCATTGGGTGCTTAGTATGTGCCTGGCATGTGTGAAGCACTTTACGAACAGTGCCTTATTAGATTCTCCATATGACAACACCCAGGCCTGGCTTCATGGTTGTGGGACAGGTGTAGCCACACAGGATTCTGTATGTAGAAGGGCCCTCCACCTGGTTTAATGCTGTGCTGTTACTATCTTGAAATTCATTTTTTTGTAAATTTATTTTTACTGTTGAGAGTATTACAGATGTCTCCCATCTCATCCCCTCCACCCAACTCTCACCCCACCCCAGACCTTCACCACACTATTGTCTGTGTTCATGGGCTATGCATATATGCATATAAGTTCTTTGGTTAACCTCCCCACCCCTTTCCCTCTGAGATCTGTCAGTCTGTTCCTTGCTTCCATGTCTCTGGACCTATTTTGTTTGTCAGGTTTTTTTGTTCTTTAGATTCCGCATATAAGGGAGATTATGTGATGTTTGTCTTTCTCTGACTGGCTTATTTTGCTTAGCATAATGATCTCTCCAGATTCCTCCATGTCGCCTCAAAGGGTAAGAGATCCTTCTGTTTTACAGCTGCATAGCATTCCATTGTGTAAACGTACCACAGCTTTTTTAGCCACTCCTCTTCTGATGGGCACTTGGGCTGTTTCCAGATCTCAGCTATTATAAATAACACTGCTATGAACATAGGGGTGCATGTATTCTTTCTGATTGGTGTTTTGAGATACAAACAAGTGGAAGCATATACTGTATTCATGGACTGAAATAATTAACATAATTAAAATGTCCATACTACCCAAACCAATCTATAGATTCAATGCAATCCCTATTAAAATACCATTAGCATATTTCACAGATCTAGAACCAATACTCCAAAAATTTATATGGAACCAAAATAGACCCTGGATAGTCACAGCAATCTTGAGAAAGAAGAACAAAGTTGGAGGGATCACAATACCAGATATCAAACTATACTACAAAGCCATTGTAATCAAAACAGCCTGGTACCAGCACAAGAACAGGCATATAGATTAATAGAATAGAACAGAGAACCCAGGAATCAACCCACACCATTTTTGGTCTATATCTATATATCTATATATCTATATATCTATATAATTTTTATATCTATATAATTTTTATATATATAAAATTTATACATATATAATTTTTAATTTTTAATACAAATATATATATACACACATGCCCCTAGCAGGAACCGAACCTGGGACTCTCTGGTCCGCAGGCCGCCGCTCCAACTGCTGAGCCAAACCGGCTAGGGCTGGTCAATTAATATTTGACAAAGGTGACAAGAGCATACAACAGAGCACAGATAGTATCTTCAGTAAGTGGTGTTGGGAAAATTGAAATTATTAATCATTTTCGAGCAAGGAAGCTGCATTTGCATTGTCACTAGGCTCTGCAAATTATATAGCCAGTCCTGAAAACACCCAATAACCCATCATTTCTTTTTCTTCTTTTCCACATGATGCCTAATACCTTGCCAGAGGATGGAACAGTAAACTTCAAATTGTGATCGTAGGACACTATCTAGAAAATGGGCGCCATTATCTCCTGAATGGAAGTTCTCTAAGGGAAAGGCTCTTAGCGTGGGAAAGTAAAGCATCTGTGAGAATTTGACCACTTGTTGAACTCCTCTAAGCCTTGGTTTCCTCCTCTATAAAGTGGGGATAACAATAATCATACCTAATTCACAGGTTTCAAGGATGAGATGAGATTACAACTCTGACACACAATACATATGGCATTAGTTATTATTATGCGTTATGGATGCTTAGCAGGTACTAAACATCCAATTTTGCTTGTGACATGGTGTGTAGCCCCTGCCCAACTCCAAGCTGCCCTCATTCCAGGGGTCTTCCCTACCTGTCCCACAGAGCTGGGAAGAACATCTGCTTTCTCCGCGTGCTGGCCGATCACAGAGGGGTTGCTAGAGCTGATAAGCACCGGGGTGCTGATCTCCACCATATGGCGCCCCGAGGGAGAATGGACCATCCTATTGAGAGTATTCAAGGCTGTCGTGATGGAGAACTGCCCAGGGCCCTTCCTCCTGGACCCAGGGCCCCTTCGGAGGGTGGGTGTGTTGGCGGCTTTGCCTCTGGGGGATGAGGACACCAGGGACAGGCTTTTTGTGCGGGTTGGCTGACGGCCTTTGTTCTTCTCTAGCAGGTGTCTTGCGGTGAGGTTTGGCTGAAAAGACAAAAGGTTCGGTGAGAAGTTAGTCTTCCTGGTCTAATACAGCAGCTGTCTTACCCAGGCTTGTCCAAAGCCAGTTCAGATGCCACCACCTCTCTCGCGGTTCCTTGGTCAGCTTCCATCCAGGGAGGAGGATATATTGATAAATTCTCACAGTCACCTTTTATAACACTTTGTACAGCCTTTTTTTTAATGCTCACCCGAGGACATTTTTTGATATTTTGTTCAGATAGAGTGGGAGGGAGAGAGAGAGAGAGAAACATCGACGTGAAAGGGACACACCAAGTGGCTGCCACCCACAGACCCAACCAGGACCAGGGACAAACTGCAACTGAGGTACATGCCCTTAGCAGGAACCGAACCCAGATCTCTTCGGACCTCAGGCTGATGCTCTAACCGCTGAGCCAAACCGGCCAGGGCTATAACACTTTGATATTGCATAGGGGGTCTACTATTTTCCTCTTTTCCTAAGGTCCAAAGCATTAAAAATAAGCCATGATATGCTCCCTTGATCAGGATCAACTCCTGCTTTACTCATTTCTTTCAGCCACATCCCAACCCTTTCTACCTAGTGGCCTCCTCCTGTCCTCCTCCAGCCACTTCGGTCCCCAGAATGGCTGCTTGTCCTTCCTGGTGCCCTCAGAGGTCCGTGCTGTCCCATCAGGGCAGCTTTCATTCCCTACTGCAATCATGGGCTTCCCTTCCCCCCACCGGACTGTGAGCTTCTCTGCTGTAGCCCAGGGTGGGTGCTGAGTGAGTGTGGAATAATGTGTGGATGAAGTTGCTCAAGTTCAGACATTCGATAGGCGTTTGAGTGTAAATCTATTCAGGATCCTGAATCTTTATGCTCAGGCCAAGTCCTTTAAATATTTACATCTTATAACCATTCTCTTCCTTTCTCTCTCTCTTAGTGGTGTGCTGGTAAACCAGAAAAACAAACAAACAAAACTCTGATTTGTAGAGTTTACCAATTTCTGTGGTGTAAATATCTACCAAAGGTTTAACAACGGGCTAGCACAAGTCCTGAAAACGCCAGGATCAGCTATTGCAGTCTAGTACCAACTAGTTTTGGCACAACCACTGACTGCATTATATTTTGAATACCCGCCTACCAAGGGCCTCTATGAATTCATTTCCTTCAGAAACCTGAAATATGGACAAAACAGGGGTTTGTGTGAATACAACTTTCCAGAACAGTTACTTAAATTTGCATCGTTCTGACTCTCACCCGTTGCCCTCTAAAACCACGTCTGTCTCAGAATAACTTAGAGATTCAGCTACAGAAGTAAAAGGGGAGGTGCCCACTTAAGTTCTCCGTGAATGTGCAGATGATTAAAATAGGCAAGATAGGAAAATTGAAAGCTGATGTAGTTGCTACCTCAAGAAGCTTGTAATAGTGTGGGAAAAAATCAAGTAGGGGAGGGGGCATTTAAAGATAAGAAAGCTGAGGCCCGGAAGGGGTGGCTTATAAATGGCGAAGCCACCACGAAACAAGCAAACGAGAAAATATCTGATAGTAGCAAGTGTTCTGCTGTGATAGAGAGTGACTGGGGGAGGTGGCCGCTTTAGATTGGGGGACCAAGGACTTGCTGAGGAGGTGACATTTAAGCTGAGACACAGATGACAAGAAGGAAACGGCCATGTGAAGATGGAGGTAGGGACATGCTGGTCATGCAGAGGGGACTGTCAGCCAGTGGAAAGGTCTTGAAGAGGCGGGGGTGGGGGTGGGGTGGGGTGGTGGAGGAGACCACAGAGATAGGCAGAGCTGCATCACAAAGGACCTGGGAGGCTTCAAGTTTGTTCTCAGTGTAAGGAAGCCTTTGGCAGAATTTAGGTAGAGTGACATGATCTGATGTATGCTTTTGAAAGTTCTTGCTATACTTTTTGACAGTTTCTTACAAAGCTAAACACCTACTTAGCATCCACCCAATAATCCCACTCCTAGATAATTACCTGAGAAAAATGAAAATTTACGCTCACTCTAAAAATGCCATGCAAATGTTTGTAGCGGCTTTAACAATAGTTTTCAACAGCTGGAAACAACCACAGTGTCTTTCAGCTGGTGGATGAATAAACAAATTCTGGCACATCCGTACAATGGAATATGACTCAGCAATAAAGGGGGATGAGTTACTTGCTACACGCAACATCATGGATGAGTCTCAGATGCACTATACTAAGTGAAAGAAGCCAGACTAAAAAGGCTACAGTCTGTATGATTTTATTTCTATGATGTTCTGGGAGACAAAAACTATAGGAACATAAGACAGATCAGTGGTTGCCAAGTTTGGGAGTCAGGGAAGTTGCTGACTAAAAAGAGGAGGCATCATATTTTTGGGAGTGTTGGAATTACTCTACATCTTGATGATGGTGTCATTATTCTGAATGCATTTATCAAAACATGTAGAAATGGACACTATACAGTACATTTTACTGTATGTAAATAAAAATAAATACACAAAATGCTGTCATTCCAGACTTGAAGGAGGGAGACCAATTAGGATTTTATTGAAATTGTTTAGGCAAGCTCTGACAGCCATCTGGATTAGGGACAATGTCCTTTCATTTCCCAGAGCACCTATCCCTCCATTGTTCACCCAGAAACAGGACAGTATACACTCTTTGAGTTGAATGAGTCAACTTCTTCATGGTCATTCACAGCTACAATGAAGTTAATTTTTTTCTGCTTCCACCGAATTATTCTGTCCCCAGCTGAGCAACACCATCAGCATTTTCATCAGCAGTACTTTCAAAGGGCCCCATGTGACTCTTGATTTGCCCCGTCCTCTGCCAACGTGATTAATGGCTCGCTTGGGGAAGGATTGCACATCTCTTTTTTTCAATTGATTTTTTTAGAGAGAGAGGCAGGGAGAGGGAGAAAGAGAAACATCGATGAGATAGAACATTGATTGGCACCTCCTACATGCGCCCCACTGGGGATCAGGCCCAGAACCTGGGCATGTGCCCTGACCAGGAATCAAATTGGCGACCTCTTGATGCATGGGTCAACCCTCAACCACTGAGCCACACCAGCCGGGCAAGGATTGCACATCTCTTACATTTGCACCCACTCATTTAAAACAATATCCTTGAGGTTTATCAGGCTGAGGAAGATTCACATAACCCAGGCAGGCCTGTTGGAGAAGTCCGGACAAGAAAGGGTGTAAGCTCAAAGTTTGTTTTACCACCTTCATATCCAGGTGCAATTCAATAAATCAAATGTGACATTAACAAGAAAAATCCTGTTTGTGCCAAAAAAAAAAAAAAAAAAAAACCCACACAAAAAAACCCCACGTCACTCTCTTAAGAAAGCTCTCCTTCCTTCCAATTGCTTTACATGGCACTGGAAATTCAAAACTTATTTAAAGAGTCCTCAGCAAGTGCTAGTCTTAATGAAATGACTGAAGTCAAAATGTAAGTACTGCTTTAGAAAGCTCAATTTAGGTTTCAAGTAATTTTCGAAAACCGGGTTCTCAGATTAGAGCAACCACTTGATTATCTTTCCCCCTCCGAGCAATTAGGAGGACAGATGAAGCAATGGCTAGTTTGATGATAATCCTGAGGATTCTTGTAATCACCAATTTTAGAGGTGAATTGGTAGGGAGAATATCCAGATGAATATTCATGAAATGTATACGTTTTTGGGGAAAAAAAGAATCATTGGTGCCTCCTGCGCAGCCCCAGCTATGCGGAAGCTTCTTGAAATACTGCAGGGGACCGTGCACATTCCCATCTGCCCAAATTTCAGCACGTCCTGTGTTTCCAGCTAGATATTAGTTGTAGCTGATCTCTGTCCTTAGAATCTTAATCACAGTCTCCCAATCAACATAACTGTTCCTCTTCAGCAAATGTTGCTTGACCCAGTAAATGGCTCCACCACTAACTAACCTAGGCACACAAATCAGAAAGGGGGCCTGATCCTTGACCACTTCCTCTCCCCCACTCCCTACTTCTGTCAACCTCCTAGTCCGGTGGATCTACCTCCACAAAGGTCCCTGAACTGTCCACTTGCTACAATTTGCAGATCAGAGCCACAGCACCTTCTCGCCGAGCCAAGCAGTAGCTCCTAACCACTCTTTCTGCTTTGCTTTCTTCTCCCTCCCTCTTTAAATCGTTCTTCCCACTGTAGCCAGAGTCATCTTGAAGAAACCCAAATCTCGTGGAATCATTGCCCCACTTAAAGTTTTTCAAGAGCTTCAGTTGACTTCTGGGTCAAGCCCAAACTTCGATGATATGGCAGAGACAATACTCGTCAACTGTTCTCTGAACTCCCCTATACTTCTCAGCTGACTTGAAGACAGGTCGGGCTATGTGACTGGTTCAGGCCAATGGGCTCTGAGTGGGAGTGACAAGGGTCGCTTCTGAGCTGAGGCATTTGCTGAAATCCAACTCGCTCTGCATTACTCTGCCCCTGGCACAGAAACGGGGAAACCCATTTGCTCCAAGTGATGCTGCTACGGATGGGTTCTTGCGTGACTTATGTGAGCAGAGCCTCTCATTGTCTGGGTGGAGCATAAATCGTGGGTGAGAAATAAGTTTTTCTTTGTTGAGCCATTGAGATTTGGGAGCTGTTTATTACTGAGGTATAACCTAGCTCATCCTCACTAATACAGGATGGTTTACACAGCTCCCTAAATCAGTCTCCTGTTTATTTCCCTGGCTTCATTTTTTGGCCACTCTCTTACTCCCTAAGCTCCAGCTCCAGTGTTCTTTTGGTCTGTTGGATATGTCATACTTCCTCATCCCGCAGGACTTCTGCGTGTTCCTCCATTCTGAGAACACTCTTCCCTCCATGCTTACCTACATAAATCCCGAACATCTATCAGACCTCGGCTCAAGGGGCATTTGCTGACCCCCAAAGTTGCACATCATACCCTCTCTCTCCACAAAGTTCCCTCTACTTTAGTCTTTGGGTCATTTATCAAACTTATAATTGCTTGATTAATGTCTGACTTCACAATCTGAAAGTAGGGACCCACGTCTGTCTTGTATCTTTAGAGCTGAGCACAGGACCTGACATTGCAGGCACTTGGAGAAAAATTACTTGAATGGTTGAACATATGTTTAGAATGGGGTCAGTGGTTTGCTCTCTTACTTTTTATCTGGTCACTCTGACAACCTCCTGCATATTTTTCCATTCATTCACTTGTTAAGCAATTAAAAAAATATATTTGTTATTTATTGATGTTAGAGAGAGAGAGGGAGAGAGAGATAGAAACATTAATGAGAGAGAACATTGATTGGCTGCCTCCTGCATGCCCCCCTGACCGGGAATCAAACGGACAACCTCTTGGTGCATGGGTTGACACTCAACCATTGAGCTACACCAGCCAGGCTTGTTAAGCAGTTGTTGTTTTTTTATCCTCACCCGAGGACATTTTTCCATTTTTTGTTCAAATAGAGTGGGAGGGAGAGAGAGAGAAACATCGATGTGAAAGGGACACATCGAGTGGTTGCTACCCGCATGACCCAACCAGGGCCGGGGACAAACTGCAACTGAGGTACGTGTCCTTAGTGGGAACCGAACCCGGGTCTCATTGGTCCGCAGGCTGACGCTCTAACCACTGAGCCAAACCGGCCAGGGCATTAAGCAGTTTTTTAATGGATTATTTGTTCTGTGTTAGGCTAGCCTGTGAAGTACCCATCAGGTGTTCAGAGAGGAGATGAATGAGTGTTCGACGAGTTGCTGAGATTTTATGGAGAAAGTGGGTTTCTAGCTGAGCCTTATAAAATGAGTGGAATTTGAACAGGTAGAGAGAATTGGGTAGGAGTAACGGGTCGGGGTCTCAGCAGGAGAAAAGGCATTGGGAATGAGAATTTATTAGAGTTAGAAGGCCAGCCTCTCTGGACCCTTCCTGCCCCCTCCTTCCCACTTTTCACCCCTTCGACGCTGATAGAGTAGAGCCGGTATAGAGAACCCGGAAAGCTGTACGGTATTCTGGACACAACGTTCACTGCAGAGCCTGCTTTGGCTCTTATGAATGAAAGAACTGGCTCCCTGTCTCCGGCTGTGCCTCTGTCCTGTTTACACCCCACTCTCCTAGAGGGCGGGGCGCATGCCTTTTACTTCTTGCATAGCTTCCCACTGCTTACTTTTACTGCTTTATTCCTGGTAAGCACCCAATACATGCAGTTAAGCAATGAATCTTCTTTAAATTTGTGAAGACCCGCTTCAAGCTAGGGTGAGGCTGAAGGCTACAGAGGTTGGGGCTCCAGGTTATTTTAGGTAAATATCCTAGCATGTGCTCTTTCTTTATTAAAAAACAAACAATTAATATGTGCTCATTTCAGAAGATTTCCAATACAAGCCAGCAGAAAAAAATGAAAATCATCTAGAATCTCACCATTTGGTGATCCTCACCGTTAATATTTTGGTACATTTCCTTTTAGTCCTTTATCCATTATTACATATACACACGTATTCATAAAGCTAGTTTTACATAGTTCAATTTGTTTCTTTGTATTGTGGCAAGAAACGTAAATCAAAATTTATCATATGAACAGTTTTTAAGTATATAGTTCAGTAGTGTTAAGTATATTCACATAGTTGTGAAACAGATCTCCAGAACTTTTTCATCTTCTAAATCTGAAACTCTATCCCCATTTCACTTTATTTTACTTAACAATAAGTCGTAAACATTTCCCATAATACCAAATACTCTGTGATACTGAATATTCTGTAATATTATTTTTAATAAGTATATATTTTTCCATCACCATTATTTTTAAAAACTAAATCTAATTGTTGTTTTTTTTAGATTATTGTCTTTTTTTAAAATCCTCACTCGAGGACATTTTTGCATTTATCTTCAGATAGAGCAGCGGGGGGGGGGGAAGGGAGGAAGAGAGAGTGAGAAACATCGATGTGAATGAGACACATGGAGTTGCTGCCACCCACACAACCCTAACCGGGGCCGGGGACAAACCACAACCAAGGTACGTGCCCTTAGCAGGAACCGAACCCAGGACTCTCCGGTCAGTGGGCCGCGCTCTAACCGCTGAGCAAAACCGGCCAGGACTAGATTATTGTTTTTTGGACTACTTCTGTGTGTTGTTTTTACCATTATACAGAATGCTACGGTGAAGACTTTCACACGTTTTATACATATATCTCTGCATAATTGTTTTAATATCCCCTTACCGTAAACTCTCAGATGTGGAATTGCCGATTCAGAAAAGATGAAGATTTTTGACATTCTTGATATAAGTTTGAGTTTGGACATGAGACGCGGCACCGACTCACACTCCTATCAGCAGAATGAAAAGGCCCGTTGCCCCGCACTCCTGCCAGAACTGGGTTCTCTCATCTGGCACCTTTCCTCTGGAGACTTGAGTCGGTTCTGAATAAGCCTCAGATCTACTAGAAACTGCCCTCGGGAACCACTGTGGTGCATGCATCTTTCCGGTAAGCTTGAACCAGAAGTGGGCTTGATACTTACCTCCACAAACAAGATTGGGAAGATGCCTATTTTGTCTCCTAACTTTCCTTCTGCCCAGTTCTCATCCACTCGGCTGATCACAGTGATGATATCATCCTGGAAGAGAAAAAGCCACGTGGTCAGCGTTTGTTCTCAGTTTGCAGTGGTGAAAGCTCTCAGTGGACATGAGCTTGGCGTCCCCGATGGTGTGAGGTGCAAGGAATTAGTTCTTTCATGATTTGTTTACAGGATTTTCCTGCTAAAATGATCTTTCTCCGGAAAGGGCCGGAGTTGGATCACCGAGACACGAGAGAAATAGAGATAACTTTTTAGGATCAATGGACTCCAACAGGAAAACTTGAACATGTTTCTAATTTTCAATCACCAGCAGAATCTGGGCTTTTCATTTAAAGTGATTGGATAAGGAAAACAAGATGAAAGTCATTGGGAGACAGACTTATGTCTTAGCCAAAGGAAGAATGAATTTCATTCTGATTTTGAAGACTTTTCAGAACCTGTCAATATTTAATGTATCAAAAGTAAAGTGACTTAAAAATTTTTTTTCTTTATTTATTTTTAGAGAGAGAGAAAGGGAGAGGGAGAGAGTATCAATTGATGAGAACATCAATTGGCCACCTGCATAACCCCCACTGGGGATCGGGCCCACAGCCTGGGTATGCGTCCTGACTGGGAATCAAACTGGCGCCCTCTTGGTTCACTGGTCGATTTTGAATTAAAAGTGACTCTTAATTCAAAATTGTCTTATTATAGAAGGTTATATGTCGATGTGTACAAACATTGAAAATACAGATAAGCAAAACAAAGAAAAAATTCCACCACGATATAGGTACAAGCACTGTTAGCACCTTGGTTAGCCCCTTTTCCCCAGATTCTTTTATATGAAGAGAAAACATACAAACATGTACATGTAAACATACTAATTTTTAAAATCTTTTCCAAAAACATACACAAGTGAATATAATAAAGTACGTACATTTTAGATGTAAAGACTGATGGATTTTTACAGTGACTATATCCACAGAACCCCCAACTGGATCAAGTTTTAGAATGTTGCCAGTGTTCAGAAGGCTCCTTTGTACCCCTGCCTGTCACGGAGAAAGGGAGAACTACTTTTCTGACTCCTAGCCTGTACATTCATTTTGCCTCGTCTTGTGCTTCATACAAATATAGGACACTTTGATTTTTCACTTAATACTATATCAGGGACACCTTTCCACATCCATACCTGTTCCTCAATCTAAACCTGAATAGTTATCCCCTGATCTCTTTGACCTTCTGATCCATGCCTCTGGGTAATTTACATCTAAATATAAATTCATTTGCTGCACTATATCTTTTCTGTCCTTATTACAATGTGCAATTACACACTGAGAGGTTATTATTTCTTTAATGCCTACCCACCCCATCAGAACATAGACTCCATGTGTGCAGGGTGTGTGTCTGTTTTGTTCATTTCCATATCCCCAGCATCTCACACAGTGGCTCCTTTTTTAGGAGTCATCCAATAAATATTTCTTGAATTCATGCATGCACAAATAAATGAATGTGTGAGTGAGTTGTACAATTTAGTGAGATAGAAAATACTAGGGAGAGATCATGTGTTTAATTTGGATGTGCTGAGTTCAGAAAGACCATGAGATTTCCTAGTGCAGTCTCGGCCTCCCATACCCCTCCAGAATGGGCCAAATTTTCTCTTTTGGTTCCTTGTCATAATTTCCCATTTATGTGTCTGGTCTTCCCACTAGACAGCTGGCTCTCTGAAGGTAGGGACAGTGACTCACCACTTTGTCCCAGTGGGCAGTTTGGCACATGGATAGGCTTACTAAATAAATGAGCTGATAGAGTAAGTGTTCCAGTTCGCAGATTCACGAAGAGGGACAAAAACAAAAACAGAGAATGCTTCCTGCCTCTGTCTTCCTCCAGCTGTGTCCCAGAGCTCAGTGTCTAATGCCTGGCACAAAGTAAATACTGAATAAATGCTTGTGGACTTGAACTGTCCTACCTCCAACTGTAGTTGAAATACAGACTTTGCCGTTTGGGTTATAGAATGGCCTTCCTTAGGGGGTTCACGTGGGGATGTCAAAACAAGAGTGATCAGTATTTCAAGATATGGAGGACAGAAAGGTGATCTAGTAGGAGGAACTGAAGTAAATCTCATTTCTGGTAGTGGTGAAATACGAATGTTTTATAAAACCTCAGGAGACCTTTTCTGAGCCATCGTAATGGTGACACTTGTATTTGATTCATCATAAGCAGCTAAGGATAAAAATCACCATAACGATGGTTTCTATGAGAAAAGCTAAATGTTTAAGGAATAATAAATATGGAACACAGAGAATTAAAGTAGTCTAGACTTTGGTAGAAGTATGAAGGCAAAACATTTTAGGGTAGTTAATGTCATTGAGAAATACATCTTGTAAGAGGTTATTTATGTATGAAGGTATAATTATATCATGGTGTGTGTTTTGGGTGTTTTGAATGCAACGTTTACAACAAAACAGACTGTTGTAAAAGAGAAGAACTAGGTGATGAGAAATTCGTCAGCAAGAATTGCCTTACAGATACATGATAAAGAGGTAAGAACTGTAGTTTTGCAAGCATGCTATCAAATTGTGTTTGTGATTTTCTGTCCACATGTCTGTTCCTCCCACTACTCTGCCTGAGGGCAGGGACTGTGACTTGTTCATGCTGTATCCCCAGTGCCCGCAAAGAACAGAGGCTGGAAGTGATTGTGGAATGAATCAATGGATGTGTGAATACTTATTTTTGTAATTGCAATAGAAAAGGCTTAAGGATTTCTATCAAACTGTTATTAGATTTCTCTAGTGACTTCATGTCTATGTAGTTTGAATTATACACACATACTGCACATATAAGCACATATGTGTATATATACATACATACATTCACATATACACTTAACATAATTTTAAAAAATAAGCAAATATTGCCCTGGCCGGTTTGGCTCAGCGGTTAGAGCATCGGCCTGCGGTCCTGAGAGACCCGGGTTCGGTTCCCGCTAAGGGCACGTACCTCGGTTGCAGTTTGTCCCCGGCCCTGGTCGGTTGTGCGGGTGGCAGCCACTCGATGTGTTCTTTTCACATCGATGTTTCTCTCTCTCTCTCTCTGTTCCTCTCTCTTCCTCCCACTCTACCTGAACAAAAAATGGAAAAATGTCCTCGGGTGAGGATAAAAAAAAAAAAAAGCAAATATTAAGCAAACAACTCGAGGTTCTGCCACAGTCTCTATGTGACACTGGTGGCTGCCGAGAGTCTTACCTTGAGGAAGGTCAGGCAGTCCTGGTTGTCAGTCTTGTCCTTACTTCGCAGGTCGAAGTTGTAGAGGGCCCGGCAAAGTGGGGGTGGCTGGGGCAGCTGCTTGATGATTTCCACAGAGCTGGCTGGGAAGAATCCACTGATTCCATTGATCTCCCCCTGGTACCAGTTCTCGTCCAGCTGTCTCCGGAGGAGGATGACATCTCCCTTGTTAAACCTCAGGTCGCCAGGATTCTGCCCTCGGTAGTTGCATAAGGCCTTTGCTCGAGGCACCTGCACAGGCCAAGAAAACATGTACTTGGTTTAGAGGCTGGAGGGACAGAATGAATCATGAATGGTTCATTACTGAGTGCTTCCAACGTGCTCAGTGCTAAATGTGGGTCATCTTGTCGATCTGTAAACACTGAATGCAATGTTTACAACAAAACAGATGGTCATGAATGAGTAGAATTAGGTGGTGAATTACACGTGGAATTATACAGTAGAATCATGCGATCTGTGGGTCATCTCTTTGAGATGGACACTAATCGTTCCCGTTTCTAGGTAGAGTGACTGAGGCACAGAGTGGTTTAATAACTTGCCTAAGGTGACACAGTTAGGAAATGGCAGATCTGGGACCTGAGCCCAGGCCACCTGATTTTAGAGCGCCTGTTCTAAAACCACTACGCAGGGAGCAGGGTTTTGGACTTAACTCCACAATTATGTCCACTTAAGTGAGTCAGCGACTCTGGGGCCTGGACACTGATTTTGAATTCTGGCTCCACCTCTTTTCCCTTGTGTGACTGTAGTCAAGTTATTTACTCTTTATGTTTAAAACACATGTTTTTAATTGATTTTTTAGGGAGAGAGAGAGACAGAAACGTCAATTGGCTGCCTCCTGCAGCCCCCTACTGGGGATCGAGCCTGTAACCCGGGCATGTGCCCTGACTGGGAATCGAACTGGGACCTCCCAGTCCATGGGACAACACTCAATCCACCTAGCCACACCAGTTGGGTAAGTTATTTACTCTTTCTTAAACCATATTCACTTATAAAATGGGATAATAATAGAATACCCACCTCACTAGGGTAGTTGTGAGGAATAAGTAATATTCATGATACCTTTCGCTTATTGCTTGGTACATAGTATGTGCTCAATAAATGACATCTCTTGTTATCATCACCTATAATGGAGGGCTAATGATATCACTTCTACAGAGTCCTCAGTATCAGAGCGAAGAAAACCAGGCTGACAACTCTCCCAAACCAGAAAGGGTTAAATGAGGGTGATGCAACGCAACTGGTCTTCAGAACTTCTCTAGAAACTAAAACCCACAAGTGTTTGCATCATTAGGAAGCACAACCAACACAAATCATTAGTCAGAAATCAATCATCAGTTTTAAAAAGTTAGCTAAAGAATCATCATTTGTCAAATCTGTTGTCTATCTAAAGAATTATTTCAGTCAAATACATTTTTTTCCCCCTAATAGAAACGGGTTTATCCACACAGCTATAGCCTCACTCTGGTCTTCTTGAAGTCAGTTTGGCAAACTGAAAGTGCTAGTAACTTAGCTTTAATAGAAAGCCCGTCAGTGTCACGTGGGATCATGTTTTATTTTGTGCTTTTCTCAGCACTGGGGTGAAACAGTCCCCTCTCCGGGGGGCAGTCTTGCTATTCATCAGGGGGCATAAGAAGGCATTAATTCAGTTCTTCAAGGACCTTCTGAGTCTGCCATGTTCATTTGAGAGGAATTTCAAGCAGCTTAGGGGTAGAAACAAGACCTGAATAGCATCATCTTGGTGATGGATAGCAGAGCATGTTTTTCTGCTGGTCCCTGGATACAATGAGGAGAGCCAAGGGGGTAGAAAACCATAGGAACACAGCTCCTCCTCAGGAAAACAGCGGGCAAAGATGTGCATACTAGGAGGTTTATTTAGTACAGTGTCGTGGATAAATGGAGTTGGCTGAATAAATCATGATGAACCCATACAATGGAATACTCTGTGGTTATTAAAATTGATGATGTTGATGTATAATTAATAACACTGAGTCATTCATAATTACTGTTAAGTATAATAGAAGAGGTTAAAAGAGTTGTATAGACTAGGCTTTTATTATAAATACATATAAATTTTTTTACTAATGCTGTACACCAACATTTCAAGAGTGGTTATTTCTAAGTGGTAAGATTTTTTTGAATATTAAAAAAATCATTCCCCTAAGTGCTTAGCTGTGTTTCTAACTTTTCTACAATAAAATGATTGTATTGCCTATTAAAATTATATAGTAAAAATCAAATAAAAATGGGGGATGAGAAGTGACAAGCAGGGGAGGAATTTGGGAAGAAAATAAGTCCAGCTGAGTAGGATCAGCAAACCATGCAACCAACTTTTTGGAGATGGTCCTTACCTGAAAAATGAGCAGATAGGCAGGTGCAGGATGAGAGCAAAGCACGTGGGAATGATTTGAATCTGCTAAACTCCCAGGGTTGGCTGTATCAGGGAACAGTCGTGGTCCCTCCATACTCCTCCTCCCCAATTTTCCATGGGAATAAATACTTTTATTTTCTGGTTATATGACCACCTAGAACACTAGCCACATTTCCCAGTTTCCCTGGCAACTACATTCTGGCCAGTGGGGTCTAAGTAACTTTTAGAAAGTATTCTTACTGAGAGGGACCAATTTTCTTTTTCCTTTCTTCCATTTTGCTATGTGGAATGCAGACATGATTGCTGGAGCTCTAGCTGCCATTCTGAACAATGAGGATGAAGTAGGAAAGGAAGTAGTCTGGGTGGCAGAGTCACTACTGAAGTCCTGAACTACTTTAGTTCCAGGCTTTTGTCTGAAAGTTAAATAAACTTCCATCTCGTTTAATACACTGTTATTTTGGATTTGTAACACAGAAGAAAAGAAAGAAAAATGTAAAATTAAGAAAAAAAAAAGAAAGAAAGCCCCTTTCACTTTGCATAATAACAACAGCAATAGCTAATATTTGTGGAGTGCTTCTTCCTATGTGCCAGGCTCAACACTCCACAATAATTACCTAGATTTCATAACAAACTGTGATTAGAGAACTGGGTATCAAAGAGCTTAAGAAGTTGTCCAAGTTCATGAGGCTAGAAAGTGGTAGATTTAGGATTTGAGCTCAGATCTGTCTATCCCCAAGCCAAGCTCTCAACCAGTCAGCCAGTGTTTCTCAAAATGAAGTCCACAGTTCACCTGTGTCAGAATCCTGACAGCTGCTAAAAATGCAGATCCCTGGACCCCATGCCTGACCTATTTGACCAGAATCTCTTCAAGTGCAATTCAAGTATCTGCATTTTTTAAAAATCCTCACCTGAGGATATTTTTCCATTTATCTTTAGATAGAGTATGAGGGAGATAGAGAGAGAGAGAAAGAAAACATCGATGTGAGAGAGACACATCAACTGACTGCCTCCTGCATGACCCTGACCAGGGCTGGGATGAACTGCAACTGAGGTACGTGCCCTTGACTGGAATTGAACCCACGACTCATTGGTCCATGGGCCGACGCTCTAACCGCTGAGCCAATCTGGCCAGGGCCAAGTATCTGCATTTTTATCCAGCTCCCCAGGATCAAATTTGATGCTTCCCTGGTCTGAGTTTCATCTTATTCTGATTAAAATGGGGGCAGCGAAGTATTGATGTGGTTTTGTAAATGACTAAGTTACTCTTTTCCTTTCTTTTCTGGAAGACAGCCAGTGCAAGTGGCTTATGTATTCTAATGACCACTGAACATGTATAGAAAACTAAAATTGCACTAAATGCTTCAATCTCTTTGAAAATGCATTAACTTGGAAACCCTGAGATAGTGCTAATGTTTTTGTTGACCTTAAATGACCCGAGGACCCAGGTGGACTGTCCAGTGGGAGCTGGAGAGAGCATATAGCATCACAGCAAGTGCTGTCAAACATACTTCATCTCCAGTATTCTGACACCGAGTGTCAACAGTGGTGCTTTCTGTGCCTAGGATGCTATTCATAATTGATGGTTGATGGTTGATACCTTTTTTTGATGGTTGATACCTTTTCCATCGATTTAAATGTATACATCATTTTTATTCCACATGCCCAGTAGTGGTCCTGTATTCCCAAGCCACCGGACACTTGAGTGCTAAGTACCACTGTTTAAGAAAATACGTATACTGTATTCATGCCTAGAAACCTCACGGTGCAGATTCAGATTGCTGGGTATGTACATTTCCATGGTGATAGCCAAAATGCTTTTATATTTATAGATGATTTCGCTGAACTGTATAACATGGGTATCATTAAATATATTTACTCTGCCCCTCCAAACTCATCATCTTGTCTCTGCTTCCCGCAGTATTCGTGAGCATTATGGAAGTGAATTGTAAATTCGACTTTTAACACAGCGACTCTTTTCATCTTCTCTCTCTTTATTCTGGATAACCCCTCCCCTGGTATTCTCAGTCCTACGTTCATAACTATAGGAAACATTGGCTTCCATGCTGTAAAGGGGGAGGAAGGGAAGGAGGAGAGAGAGGAGAGAATATGAAAAGGGGAAGGAAATGAACATTTACTGTGGTTCTGGCAAGCCAGAGAAAATTTTCTGACATTATTGCACAATTGCACTTTCCGTGTATTATCTCAATCATATGATCTCAAAACCCAGTGAAGTAAGTGGCGTCGTCCCATTTTATTGATGGAGAAACGGAAGCTGAGGGATGTTAGATGTTGCCGAGCAAGGTCACGGAGGCCCTGAGACCGACTGAGGCTCATTTGACTTCAAAGCAGCCTCCGTCTTTCATCCAGCTGAAGTCACCTAAATATGTTCTTCCATCATAAAACTCACTGGGGGCTCTGTTTTGTAATCAGAATCGGAACAGAGTGCGACTGTAATTTGCTTGCTGCCGGCTGCATTAGCATGAATTATTGAACTCCAGAGCCCTCACATAAAAGTTAAGCACCTGAAGAGACTCCGCTGGTTGATTCTATCCGGTCCTCAGCTGTTCTCTCAAGGGAAAATGACTCCAAGTGCCACATCAGCAATCACCGCTGTCTTGTTGGGAACAGCGTTCATCACCCATAAATGTTTTCCCAGGTGCAGGCAGGAGGGGGAGGGGGAAATGAAGGTTTCTCGCAGCCAGGTCACTGCCACTCTCTTCCCTGGCGCTTCTCACGAAGTCAGATAATCCAATGGAAGCCGGCATGTACCTAAAAAGCTTTGCTTTTCTGAGATTCAAGAGGCTCAAGATTTCTATACTCCTGTCACTTTCTGTTGCTGTGTCACCACAGTAGGGTTTGAAAG